AGTAGAACTTTTTTTACAATCGTAAGAAGCCCGATTTTCGATATTTTTATTAATTAGCTAAATAATTAATCAATAAAAAATTTAAAAAACCGTTATAATTTACCATGCGATATTGGACGATTGGAACAAGATATAAAAAATCGGAAGAAACTTTTCAAATATTTGTCTAAAAAATATTTTTATGAAATAATATGCACTAATGACTGTAAAAAATCAACTATATGCCAAATATGACTTTACACCCAAAACATGCAAAAACATGCACTATCAAACTTCATATTATTATTACTATTGTTATGAAACGGATTTGTATCTCAGTTAGCATGTTTTCCTGTGTAGCAAAAAAAACATGCAGATGCATGAACTTACGAGCCCTGTTTATTAGTGATATTGTTATTATAGGCATATGAAATTAAAATTGAATTATTCATTTTATATATTTTTAGAATCAGATATTTTGCTTTTCCATTGACTAAGGATATATTATGTCATAAAATTATATCATATATTTATTACAATAAATATATATTATGCCATAGGAACTTGTAATATTCTTTTTGCACTAGCTGTGATTTTTCTGTAAATTAATTAATGTTGATGTAATATTTATATTATTTTTTAGGTTTATTTATTTAGTAGATTGTGAACACACCATAGAATCCGATGCTTTAACAAAATGGATGAATCAAAACGATGAAGAAATCTGTTTGAAACAGTGTCCGCTATGTAAAACACCAATTTTAAAAACCCAACGTTTTCTGAATCAAGTAAAAATTATATTAGAAGACGTATCAAAAATAAAAACAAAACAGTATGGAGAATTAGCTGTAATTCGTGGCAAAACGAAGACAGTAATTGAATCACTAAAATCTTTGGATAAAAATTTTATTTCAAATTATATTGGTGATAGACATCATAGTATTAAACGTTTATGGAATACATTTTACAAGCCTTTATTTGGTCTGTGTAATAAACGTTCAAAGTTCACTTTACCCGCCAATGATATTGAATCGTTAAATTTCGTCATTGATTTGTTTATAACTACTTCAAAGTTTAAAAATAGAATTAAAGAAATCAAAGATGGCCAAAGAAAACAAACTATCATTAATCACTTTGATTGGATTCTTTCTGTTGCTTTCACTTATGCGCGACAGTTGTCAAATCAGCAAAAATTAGATATAAAAAAAGAGATGGCACGTGGCTCAAGAATCATAAATTTATTTGAAATCATGTCTAATAGAAAATTTCAGACAGCAGTTACAATGCAAACTTCCGACACAAATGAAATGAAAAAAATAGTAGATAATATGGAGGCTTTATTAATGTCATGCAGCATTTACACATCAATCATTGATGAGGATATACAGAATTTAGTAGAAGAAATCCAACAAAAAATTGATGATCTTCCTTTAATAACAGATGATGAAAGACGTATGATTCATGCTGCTATGTCCACCGATTTTTCAGGAGGCATTAAAGCTCAGGGACATTGGTGTAAATGTCCAAATGGCCACATTTATTGTGTTACGGAATGCGGAGGGCCAATGCAGGAGTCTATTTGTCCTGAATGCAAAGTAAAAATTGGTGGACAGAGTCATCGACATGTATCAGGGATTACTGTTGCATCAGAGATGGATGGCGCTAGAAACCTTCGGTTTCAATAGTTATTACTCAAATAATTCTCTTTTTATTTTTATTTTACATATATTTGTTCATGTTTATACTTGCAATATTATGTAAAGTTTGTTTTTGATATTATTTTATCAAGCTTATAAAAATATTTACAAGTATCACACTAATTTACTAATTACTAACTAATAAATTAATGATAAATTACTATTTTTAAATGTCATATTGTCTAGCAGCTATCAAAATAAAATATATTACATTCGATTATGATACCTAAGTAATAAATATTAAAATTTATAATATTATTTTTAATAACTAAAGTTTATAGTTATGTTATTATAGAAGATTAATATGAAACAATTATAAACATTTGAATCATATTTATTATTTAATATTTAGTTTTGAAAACTGTTAATTTTTATACATAACGAATGAAAATTCTAACTTGTATAATTATGTAGACACATTGTATATACAATATTATTATATTAATGAAGTCTTGAAGTATGGTCATATTTCTGATTCTCAACATTTTTTGATAATATTGATTTTTATTTGTGTGTTATTAATTATCATTTGTTTTTTATAATTATTTAAGTGAATTCATTTTCTACTATTAAATACCTCTAATCTTTTATCTGTTTATATCTATTTATTTATTACCAATTATTTTGTATTTTAAATTACATCCAAATGAAATTTAACCAAAGGTGGGCAAGTTAATGAAAATAATGAATTCAAGCTAAGTCAAGATAAGAGGACACAAGATCGATAAATTAACTCGATAAGTTAAAAGTTAATATACTTGTTTTAATTAGTATGTAGATCACATAAAAAGTACTTCGTTTTTTCTAATTTCCTAAATTATTATAATATACAATTTTATCGTAATGTACCTGTAGTGTCTATACCAATGATGGGCAAAGTACATCACACGGGCCCAACTGCGGCCTGCAAAAGTATTTAATCTGGCCCACCGAGCGTCCATCGACATGGATAGTATATGGCCCCCAAATTATTTAATTATTAAATTTAATTAATTTAGGAAAAAAATTCCCGAACTATTCTCAAAATGATCGAAGAAAATAGTTTTAAATATATAAATGGATTGGCGCGGACTGTGCACTGTCATGTTTTTATAATATTATGATTAAAAGCTTTAACACAAAATGCATTTTTCTATAATTCTGGCCCTCCTCTAGAATTTCTTAAAGTTTGTGGCCCCCTATTAAAATAGTTTGCCTACCACTAGTCGATAAATATTTTACTTTACATGATTATTAAATATTTAAATACCTACACATCACAATAAATAATTTAACAAATATTAATTTTTTTATATCAAATAGAAATTTAAGGTCATATAATATTATGTGTATCTAATTTACTATACCATAATATATTTATTTAAAAATTATTTTATCAAAAAAATGCATTACAGAAATGTTTGTATTGTTATAGAATTGAATTATTTTTATTTTTATTTAAGTGTTAATATTTACGTATAAAACCATAAATACGAGAAATTTTAAAAATGTTTAACTTGATGCAAATTATTTTTAAATTAAGAGGATGTGATACCTGCATGTGTTGTCTCGGTATCACAAGTGTGTACCATAGAAAATTTATGTTTAAAAAGTTTAAAAATTATTATCTAAGCAACCTCGTGGGCTTTTTATTATATTTTAATTTTAAAGCGAGTTATGAGTATTTTAAGATGTACAAACAATTTACAATTTTAATACACAGTGTTTCAATTGTGTAAATGTAATATAAGAGAACAAAGTTGTTACAAGGATTGAAGACATTTATTTTTAATATTTTTTTTACTAGTTTTGTGTTTTTATTGTGAATAATTAAATATTTAGAACACAAGATATTAAATAATTAAATCTAAATCTGCATTTATTTATATTTTATAATTGAAACAAAATTGTACTTAGTTTGAAATAATGATGTAGTATCAATGAAAATATGTAATCATCATACATCTACGAGTATCTGAAATATAATTAAAATTGATTAAAGCTGTAGTTACTTCTTACTAGACACTAAGATTTATATTTCACACCTCTGAAAAATTGATCAGTGAGGCTGTGATAGTATCAAAACAACAAAAGTAGTAAAAAGTTATTAGTTATACATCTTATATTCTGAGCTTAAAGTTTACTTTTAACTTTGATATTAATTTAGACATAATTATATTGAAAAAAAATATGTAAGCCCTTTTTGGAGGCAATCTTGTTATAAATATTTAGAAAATCAATATTATAAAAAAAATAATGTTTTTTTTTATTAAACTAATTTAATTTTTTTGATTGACAAAATATTACTATACAATTATATAGTGATTGATTTTTCATAATAACTGAGTTGTATTCATTTCATAATGAAGTATTATGTTTATACTAATTAATTTTTATTTTTTCAGTATACAATCTGTGCCTAAGAGGCACAATTGGTACAATACGTGTTAAGGGTTGGATACATAACATTATTATACAAATTAATAATAGTTATTGATGTTAATGAACTAATAATAAGAAGTAGTGAATACACAATATTTTTGTGAGCAGCCATCCGACGGTTGACATTTTTCCCGGGAATGAACCTATTCTGGTTTAGACTGGTCAAGTGGTCACAACACAATTTTTGTTTAAGACACCTGGGAATGGAAGCAATTGTGAGGTGAGGTTTAATATTAATGGGTTAATGTAGGACAGGCAAGGATCAAAACAATTTTTAATGGGGGAGCTAAAAAAAAATTTGTTATACCTTTTTGTTTTAGATTACGTAATTTATAATACAAATTTATGTTTATGATGGCTATACGGTGGTGCCCAAGCACCCATAGCCCCCCCACCCCGCATGTTGGTAATGTATTTTAGCTACTTCGCATAGTAATTTTATTTATTATATTGTTTGTGGCATACATGGGGGAATTACTAGTTTTCTGAGTGCTGTATTTTGAAACTATTTAATTTTAATTAGGTTTGATTTTTTTGAATTTCCTCATAGGATCCTACATTGGTTTAATTAGGTATTTATAGATGAGCCATTTAGTGTTGATCATGTGTATTTTTTATAATTTATAAATATTTTGAATAGGCATGATCGAGAATAAGTTTATATTATTAGATTTATTTAATAGTTATAACTTATATTGATAAAAATAATTGAATGGGCTAGGAACATTAAAAAATAAAAAGATCCTGTTTGTGGTTCCTCATTTATAATATTCATATGCATGTACAATGTACAAAAATAAGGCAGGAGTTTGGTAAAAAATATAAATATTTTTATTTTCCTTTAATCTAATTCATTTATAATTTAAGATTTAATGTAAAAATGTGTAAAATTTTCTTTTTTTTTTACAGAATTGATTTTTTTTTAAGACATTTTTTTCGATTCCATTCATAACGTAACTTTGTCCATACACCACAACACATTTTGATAAGTCGCTCATCAACAACTAATTGAGATTTGATAAACATGTATTGATTTTGAACAATGAATTTAGCTTGCTTATGAAAACCACGTTGCATGAGACTAATAGCAGCATACAGCTTACACCGGGCTGCGGTCAAAGGATCACCAATTCGCATTGCAATTCTTAACTGTTGCAATGAAATATTCCCTGCTACGATTGCCTAAAAGTAAATGAAATATTTTATATTATGTTTTTATTTGCATTATATCTAAGGTACCACTCTTTTTTATTTTAAACCCATGTAGCAGTCAAAAATACAAAATTTAACAGAAAAGAAGCATAGTATCAGAAACTATGTGTTAGGTAGAGATTTAATCAAAACTATACTTACACAGTGTTCAGTCTGATCGCCCAATGATGAAAAAGCTCCACCAAGAGTTGATAACCAAGCCATAATGTTTTCAAGCTCTCTGTATTCAGTATCAGTTTTTTCATACAGTTCGCACCTAAAATTATACGTTTGATAATAATAAGCAATAATTAGCTAATAATTGCTAATAATAATTAGCAATAATCAGACAAAAGCAGTAAATATTTTTTTCAAGTGTTTTGTAGACAGTTGTAGTTTACCATGTGTAGGGCAGTCTATATTTGTCCGGTGTCACCAGCCGGACGTCGTTGAAGCCAACCACAATGTTGTTGTTGTCCACCGATGCGACGCTGTTCATCCGCCTCACGACCAATCGCTTGAGCGTGTCGCTGTTCGCCAGCGCCTTGATGACGCACTCCAGACAATTGGCGTCCATTACCGTGGACATGGGGTCCCGGGCACCATTCAGGCCTAGAGAGCACAGTTCTGCCGACATGCTGAACGGAAGCTGGTCAACAGTCGTGTACAGCACATATTCTCGGTTGAATTTCACTATCAACAGGCAGTCCCACAGTTCACCATCGACGAACACCCGGAGACAACACACTCGCATTTTGTATGTGACGAGAAGCGTTGAAAGTCGAAACGATGTACGATGGACATTATTTTACTTACAACAGAGGGTAGTTTTAAAAATAATAATGTCGAATTTAAATACTTACTCTACAATATTAACAATATTATGTTTTATACTTTCATAGTGTAAAATATTATTATTCACTTATCGTCGACTATCGCAGTCTCGCATTTTCGTGCGCGCCATGCCTATACTGATAAACTGATAAGATTATCACCGCCATTATCAGCGTTTCGGTATCAATAAATAGCTAATTTTTTTCTGAATTCAGGAATACCAAAACCTCAAAATAATAAATTTGGCACATAGGAGGTTTGATCAGCGTATGATTTTGTTGCCGATATAGCGACGAGTCACCGAATTTGGTGAACGATGTGCGCAAGTGCAATGCAACTCGTCGCATAATTATCCATATTTATAATCATAGCCCTATAAAAGATAGGTCTATGGGTGCAAATGTACAATAGGTATCTGTGGATAAATATGCGAGAAGTCACGTTGCTCATACGCATATCGACCATCTAATTCGCTGATATCGGCAACGTTTTTTTGTATCGATTTAATACTCTGCGGCTGAGTGGCTCCATCCATGATCTAAGAATCTATCGACAACCACGGCTGTATACTCTGTATAGATGTATATTGTATATAGATTATAGATAACCTCATGAAATTTCGGGACAAGTCGTGCCCGATGCCCGCGGCTGTACTTTTATGTTATATAATAAAATTATGTTATTATTGGTTAAAAAAAAATTGTTTTGGCTTAACAATATTATTATGTTGTTCACTTGTTCATAATAAGTTGTATTAAAATTTATAATTATTTAGATTCAGAATCTGAAAGACTCACATTATGATTAGGTATTTATTTATATCATTTATGACACTTGATCACAGTAGAGACTAGAGAGTAGAGACACTTTTGAATCTACCTTTGATTAAATATTACGAGCAGTTTCAATTAAAAAAAAAAAAAAATTAGGTTCTGCAATCTGAATATTGATTTAATTGTTAAATTTTAAATGTTAGGCACCTAATATACATGGTTTTACATAAATGTTCTCATTATTTTAATCTCCACCATATAACCTAAGTTTAGAAATTATTAGCGAGTCCTACCAAAGGTCTAAGTAACTTGGTGTATACCTATGTCCTATGTCTATGATTTTAATGGTATTTCGTGTAGGTATGTAAGCAACTAGATAGCGTGTAACTTATGGCAGATTTCTGATATTGCGATCACCTATTCATACCTTGTGGTTTGTCCTGTAATGTTTACACATTCGGACAATCCTGTGGGTCCCTGGCATGACAAAATATAAATTATCTATTTTATCGTTGTCTCCGGGTACAGACCCCCTCCCCTCCCTTCATCACCGGTATATAATAATAAAATTTATTAAGAGGACTCCTGTCCCACGCATGTTGTATTTCCGTCCTATACAAACGTACAACATATAGTTAATTTATGTTCAGTTGTTCCAATTTGTATTTATGTGTATTCTAGTGAACTTTAATATTAGAGTGAATTGATCTATTATACATCTAGGTAAGAACATTAATTGTGTTTTGTCGAAAATATTTTACGGTATTTTTTTTTTTTATGGAGTTGTGGGAAGTTTTAGGCCCTAATTAAAATATTAAGTAGGTACTTGGAATGATTCTAATTTCAGCATACATTTTTTAGAAGAACTTTTTCTCTTATATATTTTGAACGAATCGATGGCATTCATTGGTTTTGCAATGATGTGTTTTTCTTGTGACAGAAAATCCTTTTTATCACCAGCAGAAAACATGCTTTAATTTTGAATATTAAAAGTGGTTAGCTAATTGGATATAATTTTTATTTTAAGATATCAAAATAAAAATTTCTGCACTTCAAAAATATTGAAAATTCAGTAACAATTTTTTTTATAAGCGTTTGAAATTCAAATTTTGACAAAATTCAACAAAAATTCCGAAAATCTACAAATTATTTTGTAATTAAAAAACATACAATTTTAGTTTTTTATAGCTTAAGCTTGGAAATGTATAATATGAGGTCCTTTATAAATTGCAGGGCTTATAGCATTCTAAAAATATTGAAAATAATTTTATAGTATACATTTGAGGTTCTGATTTTGATGAAATAACGATGTTTTGTTGTATTTACCTTGATTGCCGAGGTCTTAACATAAATCTTAGAATTTTTGTGTGGCCCAACCTTTTAAATGTTAGCTTCTTATTGGCCCTACCAAGAAAAAAATTCTGGTACCGCCCCACTGGGGTCGATTTAGAGCTTTGGGGCAGCAAACCCTGATTTTTAATGATTTTCAAGGTGGGGTGCCAAGAAAATGCACCTGATATTTTAATTTCAACCTACCTATTATGCCTATTATTATTAATAGAAAATAAATCACTCTTGGTACTTACCTAATAATAAATAAATTATAAATTATTTTTAGAAATAGAGGTTGTCACATCGTCTTTGCTCGGAATCGAGCAATGATATTATTCTTTGAATTCAAATTTAACACATCCATTACAGCGACCTACTTAATGACGAGGTACACTCAAATTTACTTACACTACAGTACTACACACATAGTACCTACAGCGCAACAAAAAATGTCCCTGATTTTTTACTTTTTTAATGTTATACTCGCAACTGGTAAGTAGTCGTATAATACAATGCAGATATATATTGTACCTATATAAATATAATGTTGGTAATTTTAGTTTCGCTTCTGATCCCGCGTTGAAATGTAGGAACCTATTATATAGCAGTGTCGGGAAATACCAAACAGTAAATAGACAACTGGTATACATTTTGATTTTTAAACGCTCAGACAATGTGTAATCATATGCTATTATCATTATAATTTAGAAATTATAACATGTGTCATGTGTGGCGTGCCTTACAATAGTGGATGTGTCGTTTGTTAATGTTGTAAGTTTTTCTTAAAGCAGTGTCTAAATGTTATTTTTTGTTAGAAGTATATGCACTGCAGTCTGCAGCTTCGCAGTTATATTTCTTAGTCAACAAATTTGTTTATCTAATTATTGTTATAACTTATAATATACTTGACCCCGTTTGGTAATATAAATGTTTTTTCTTCTTTTTTTAAATATTGCGTTAATTACATGTTATAGGCATTGTCAGTGTTCGTGTTACATGTATATGTTACTGGCTAAGTAGGAATTCATAATGCCCGATTTTGGTGGTTAATGTTGGAAAAGTCTACATTGTGCACTATGACCAAATAATAGTGGGCCAAGAGTCAAGACAGGTCAAGTATAGATAAAATATTAAAATTAGTAAAACAAAATATGATTAAATAGAGTACCTATACCTACCTTGTATTAGTATTTGATTGTATCAAAATTCAAAACCAACAAATTACAAATATTATAAACATACCCAATAGGCAATATTATTTTTAAATTTTTGTTTGAACCATTTTAAAGACTATTAAAATAGGCAATTACCATAAAACATTAAAATGAAACCAGTGGGTGATACAAAATTTCACTAAATACACTACACAAATTATTATTATAACTATATCTACTAGGTATATAATAATAGGCTATATAATAGTAGGTACCTATAATTTATAAGTAATATCTAGTAAGTACCTAATTGTAGTTATTATTTATTTATTTTTATGAAAAACACTATATTGTCTATATTATTGTGACTTTTAAAATGAGCAATGAACCTAAAACATTAAATTTGATTAAACAAACATAATTTGTATCAATACAAAATGTTTACTTAATTGGCTACCCAATAATCCTTAAACTCTATTAGATAGGTATATGATGGTTGCCCATAGGCTGTTTACATACATTATATACATTTATACATACCTATGTGGTATGCCGCGGTATACTTATTCTGTATTCAGTTATACTGCAGGGTTTTAGAGTGCTGCAGACTACCATATTATTATATATTTATATAAGGTACCTATACCTATAATTTATACGAACCGAAAGGAAGACGCGTGCCGTGTAGTTGAATTATTGGTCGTCAGCAGCTCTTGTCCAACACGCGACAGCAGCATGATATCATACCCTCCTAATAGGTGCCTATTGTGTGTAATATATTACAACGTTATACTTATACAGCGGGCTTATTAAATATTTATAAGTATTATATTTTATACATAGATACCTGCACGAAATGCGTATTTTACCATTTATATTTCAGACATAATAATATTATAATACCTATACGATTGGATGGTATACAATATACATACATATATACATAATGTATAGTTGCGTTGACATTAAGAGTCGATGTTAAGCCTTTATAGGAGCTATTCGTATCCCGTAGGCAGTAGCTAGGTACTGAATTAGGTACCCACGCAGCAATATTGTGAGAAATTATTAGAGAGGCCCCGCCGACATAATAATTTATCGGTCCATCGGTCCGTCACAATGTCTTTTTTTCTCGATTCATTATAATGTCGAACGTAGTACGTATATAATACTTCATTATTTCTTTGTATATAGGTATCTTGTATACTAATATAGATAATATATAGTAATATCTAATAAATGTATAAAACCATACACGATACACAAATAATACACTAACGCTACTAGATATTAATAAATAATTTATCGATTGTTCTGTGATGAAAGGTGGCTATAATGATCGGTATTTGGCAATATAACTAATAATCAGCGTTATCGTGTTGATGATTACAGGTGATATAATATAGTGGGCAGCGTTATTTGTGAATTCGATTTATATAAATCAATCATAATAATGTAGGTAAGCCTGATAAGCAATATAAATTATAATTCACATCGGCTAATAATCTCGTTGTTGATGCCAATATTATAATATTATGTATCGCATAACATTATACCTACCTAATGTAAAAACAAAAAAAAATAATTGTCAATTATTGGTCATATCTGGATAGTAAGACTCAAAATTAAAACAATAAAAAAAGAATTTTTCAGCGCTAGAATAT